TTTTTAGTAGAGACGGGGTTTCACCATGTTGACCAGGATGGTCTCGATCTCTTGACCTCGTGATCCACCCGCCTCGGCCTCCCAAAGTGCTGGGATTACAGGCTTGAGCCACTGCGCCTGGCCTGCTTTTGTATTTCTGTTGCACCAGTTTTTTAGGCTTGCCAGATCATTTTGAAATCTTCATTGTCTTGACTGCAGGATGAGTATGTTGGCTCAGGCCTGTTATCCCACCTACTTAGGAGGCCAAGACAGGAGAATTGCTTGAGCCTGGGAGTTCTAGACCAGCCTGGGCGACAAGACCCCGTCTCTTTAAAATATAGAATTAAAAAAAATTTTTTTTCAGGATTTAGCTAAAGCCTCTTACAGTGTGATCAAAAATATATGATCAGATCTTTCAACAGGCAGTCTTTCTTCCTTGCTTGGTCTGTTTTTTTGTGGCTATCTCTTATCAGCAGAAAAGTTTTATTCCTTTTAAGGACAAACAAACCACATCCAAGGTCTTAACTTATGAACAGAAACCAAAGTAGCCATTGAAAGCATTAGATATAGGGTACAAGACATACACTAGGGAGAATGCTTCGCCATCTGAAGCTCACACCACACTGGCCCAGTGGACAGCTCTGCACTCTCTGCTCGTGCTTGGGTGTGGCTGAGAGGAAGGCATGTCTGCAGGTTGGAAGGAGGACAGCTGTGTTTCACAAGTACTAAAGCATTTTAGACTGCATGGGGAGGTATATATTTTCACATTGATGGGAAGAGGTGAAAACAGCAAAGTCCCTCCCACAAAGCATTAGGCTGCCTTGCAGAGAGCCACGGCAGAGAAACGGACCTCTCCTTGCTCACGCTCGGTGAATTCTCTGCAGACCTGGCAGCATCCTGCAGCAGGGTGTCCTCTGAACTGGCGCCATGGTTCACTGAAAAAGGCATTCGTCCATCAAGTTCACAGAGGTGGCTATCACTGATGGTTCTAGAAACCATCACTGATGCTCCTGCTTTGAGGCGCCAGGCCTCCCGCTCACCAGCTGGCTATATCCTCCCACAGTGGGGGAAACTGAAGCCCAGGGAAGCAAAGTCACTTGCCAAGATCATGAGGCATCATTGACAGAGCTGAGACTGGGCCCAAGGCAGCCAAGTCCTCTTCTTCCCCGTCCCTTCACGAGCCTTGCTCGCTGGGGCCACTCTCCCACGGTCCCCGCAGCTTCCCTCCCAGGTGCCTGCTCCCTGGTCTTGGGAGGCAGGGGGCTCCCTGTACTTCCCCCTCGCATCAGTGCCCAAGGCCCTCCTGCTGTTCCCTGCTCCCATCCACCCTGAGTGCCACTCCTGACACCAACCGATGAGGCTGTGATATCCGTGCAGGAGTGAGTTTCTCTGCTCCTGCTCAGGGCTCACAGATTTCCACTGCAGCTTCATGCGGAAATACTCGTCCCTGAAGGGTGGAAGGAAGCGAGATGTGAGACCACCACTCTCTGCGGCACTGGGAGACCTCCCGGCCTGGTGCCGCCTCCCTGGTCAGCCCTGCAGAGCCCCTCCCTGATCATACAGACCCAAGCAGGTCACCTCATCATTCTTGCCACCATCCTTTATGCTTCACCTTCCTACTACACCTCTCACTACATAGAAATCCTTGTGGGCTTTTGGTGAAAATCTGTCACACACACACACCCCTCCCCACCGCTGGATAGGGTACAAGAGACAGGGAACTATCCAGCACTGCTGCATTTAAAAAAAAAAAAAAAAAAA